TGTTGTAGCTCGTTCATCCAGTCTGGCAGGTGCAGTGCAGTCAGCCATGAGTGTCGTTGGGACTCTTTGCCCTCTTACATGTTCTGCCAGCATACGAGGTTAGTAGGAGACATGAATGATGGAGGGCAGAGCCGCGACGTACAGAGAAACCTGGTTCACGTTCGGCAGGTAGCGGCCAGCGCTGTCGGTCACTGACTTGGTCAAGTAGTTCCAGCACGACCAGGCAAGCCGCGACACGGGCATGAGCTACCGACCACACATGAACGTCAGTCGTGGGGGTTGGAAGGTAGGAGAGCTCGAGCAGACCCGCTTGTCGCTGTGCAAGACCGCCTCGTTCCTATTCCACTTGAACGACTCCAGTATACGCGCCTCCTCCGGAGTCATCCCGCCTCCCGCATTCAGGATCTCCACTATCGTGTCGGAATGGCATGCGAGGATGACATGGTCGAACGGCAGGGTCTCGCCGGAAGCGGTCGTCAGCTCGACTCTGTGCGTCTTCTGCGAGTTGTTGTAGACCGGGATGGACTTGACCGCCTTGATGGGCGTGGAGAGGTGCAGCTGCGAAGCGGGCAGTCCGGAGATGATCCTCTTGACGTAGGTTCGGCTGGAAGGACGTCAAGATGAAGAGCAAGGGCACACACTTGAGTCCTTACTTACCTCCCGCCGCGAAGGGTCAGCCATGAGGGCTTACCGGTGACCTGCAGCAGATGGTGGTTATACATGAACTGAATCTGTGAAGGAGCGTTCGCTGAGCCGAAGCACCGAATCACGAGCATCGGGCATGCCATACTAATGTCCGCGCAGGGAAGTCCAAGGCGCACTTGTCGGGAGGAGTGCTCCAGATAGCTGCGGTCATAGGCTATGAAGGGCAATGTAAGCAGGAGTCGATCAGAGAGGATACCACGGCGCATACTATGAGATAGTTGTCCCGAAAGGAGTCCGAATAGCCAAATTGCTCAAGATAGTCCCCGATGGAAACCTCATCGTCCTGCGGGCCAGCCTTTTCGAGCTCGAGGAGCAGCTTCTGTGCATTCGCGTTGAACCTCAGCACGTCGTAGATCAGCCGCCACATGTTTGGGTCGAGAAGACGCGAAGGCTGGCAGAAGACCGTCATCAGGTTGTTTCCGGCCCACTCGAAGGCACCCATGTCGCGCGAGACCGCGAACGTCATCTCCGTGGGGAGGATGCGTTCTGCGAGGTCCGGGTAATCCTTCAGAAAGCTGATGAAGTTGGGGTATGTGCTAGGATTGAAGACAATCTGTCCCAAACCACAAATTCAGACCACGCGCCAGGAGTATGCGCATGGGTGTACGCACGAAACCACTGCAATTATAGCAAAGTCAAAAGGCGGCACAGGCGCACAGGCTGTAGACTTACGTGTCGACATCGGCGGGCTCCAACCCTGGAGGAGAGTAAGTAACCGTGTTGGCATGTCCTCCAGGACGCGAGTCGGCCTCAAAGAGGTGGACTTCGTAGTCTGGAAGCCCATTGAGCAGCTGTTGGGCATGAAGTCAGCTCGGCTGTGTCAGATCCGACAATATCAAGCAAGTCTACCCATGTTGCAGCCAGGCCAGACACACCCGAGCCGACGACGGCTACTCTCAGCTTCGCCATGCCTCTCTCGACTTGTCCTCTGCTGTAAGCCAGTCGCAGGCTCAAGCACTGGCACGTAGATGTAGGAAAGAAGAACAGGAGATCTCGAGCTTGCTGTCCATTCTGAGTGCGTGAGACGTTGGCAGGGGAGCGAACTACCACGCTGGTTACCGCAACCGATCCAGTCGCTTCATCGCGCCACTGCCACCGCGCCCTTCCTGACTTGGCAACTCTCCTCCCAAGCCGCATCCACAACGCACAACTCGGAGAGGTGCATGTCGTACACTCATTCGCTAATAATACTACAAGTCGTGCATCATTCGTGATGTGCTAACACTTTCTCCCTCAAATTCGCAATCCTGGGCTTGAAACGGGCCACGAAAGGGAGAGGGTGGGCGAATGAGCCGTCCTTGACTGCCATGGTGTCGATTGGGTGAGCCGGGTCTTCGCATATCTCGAACGCCCACAAGGTCAGCGCGGTGTTGATGAAGACGGACCTGTAGAAGAAACTCGTGAGCACGCGCAGGAGGAGGTGGACCATGCGATAGACTGACCGCTCGGCTACGTGCACCCCGGGGCATATTCTATGTAGTATCACCCCGTCAGCTAGATCGCAGTCCCCAGGAGAAGAATGAGACGGGCCTGACCTTCGTCCAAAACCCCAGTTGAAGAACTTCAAATCTTCCCTCATGCTGCCCTTCTCGTCAAGCCAGCGCTCCGGCTTGAACGCGTCCGGGTCAGGGTAGACATCCGGATCCCGCGAGATAGCCCTGCACAGGACAGTTTCATGCGTGGGTTAGCTAGCATTCGTTGACCGTGTTAGGGACACATACCAGTGGCATCCCAGGACCTCCGTCCCCGCAGGGATCACGTAGTCTTTCTGTGATATTAAGGATAAGCCCTTGACCAGTTAAGCGCACTCGAGGAGATCATACCCAGACGACGTCCTTCGTTGCCCTGTGCGTAAACCCTGCAAGCAAGTGGTGAGATCCATCGCCAACATCTCGAGCTGTGGAGCCTTGGGCAGACCTAGAGGAGTGACGGGCCGCCACCTGTAAACCTCTTGAACGAAAGCACAGACTTCGGTGAGCTTGTCGTGGTCGGCGAAGGTAGGCACTGTGGTATGTCGTTAGTGAAAAGCCCCGGCCGCGATACAGTGTGTTGAATTACAGCGTTCCCGTCCCACGATTGAGTCCAGCTGAGCTTGGACCTTGGCTTGCTTATCGGGGTGACACGCCGCGGCCATAATCATTGCAGGGAGTACTCCGGCCGTCTGGTGCACGATCCTGTGAGACCGATAGGGTACACGGAGCTCGAGCGCGACCTACAGTGTCGGATCCAGCTCCGAACATCGAGCCAGCCAAGTACGCAAGTTCATCGTCCGTGAGGTTGAACTCCTCTTGTCGCTCCAGGATGGACGTCGCGAAGCAAGGCTGGGCCTCGTTTCTCTCCTAAACACGGCATGAGAACAACTCGACCACCCTTCATGCACCCGCTCGACGCTCACCAGACGCGTTTTGACTGCCTGAAGCTGACCGCGGAACAACTCCAGCTCCTCTTTGTGGAACTTCTTGAGCTCCGAAGTGAAGCCGGGAACGTGCTTGAGGATCGGATATCTATCCACCAGATACGCTCCAGGCCGCACCGCCAGGCCGAGGCGGTAGATACCAAGGTTGATTTGCTTCACTTCGGGGTCAGAGTACGACGTCGGAGTTGTCTTGCCGTACGTGATCGCCATGATGACGCTTGCCGCATACCTATAGCGAAGACGGTGAGCTACACTGCAGGCCACACCAGGTGAGCGGTCAGGGAAAGTACCGCTTCGCGTGGCCAATGAAGTCATCTGGGTCGTCGAGCAAGTCGATGATGAAGTTCCGCGCGTTCTGCATCTGCATGTGCTCGTACTTCGCCGCGCTTTGGGGTTGCAGCGTCGCATGAAGCACGCTACAAAAGTGATCAGCGAATGCACACGGCGGGAGGGTGCGCCTCAACCTGGACAAGTAGGAGGCTCACCTTCTGTACCTCTTTAGCCGTTCACCTACACCGAGGGTAAGCGTACGCATTCCGCCTGAGAGAATCTCCCCGGCAGCGACGGTCCGGGGGCGGTCGGCTAGGTAATGCGACTGCTTGACCATGATGTCCGTTGCAGCCTGGGAGTCAGGTGAGTGTCAATGCGTGCGCAAGCAGCTATGGGGTTGCTTCAGACGCACCTCATGTCGTGTGATCACACAGAGCCGCCGCGAGCCATACCGCAGAGTGAACACTGGCCCGTACGTCTCTCCGATGCGCGCGAAGTGGCGATAGGCACTGCACGCTAGACCGTGAGTTGTACTCTAGCACGGGGGAGGTGCTGGGCCTACTCACAAAGCTGTTGGAGGCGCATTCCCGAAGAGCCAATGTCCGGGCGGACTTGGCGGGAGTCGCTCGTTCTCCCGCTCCCAGCGTATTCCCCGAACCGCGGCGTAGCACAGCGCGACGAGCGCGCCCAAGAGAAGCGACCACAAGACGATTGGCGAGAAGGGCGCGCCGGCCGACAGAATCAGGGAAGACATGTCACGGCGACTCTGCATGAGAGACTCAGAGGTTCACAGGGGGGGCACTGGCACTATATATGCCGAGACGACGTGCTTCGAAGGAACTCGCCGGCGGAGAGAACTGTGTATCGTGCGAACGTAGTCCTGCAATGGTTATAGCCCGGCTTGAGCTCGAGAGCTTCCCGAGCGAAAGCTTCAATGGAAGGCAGGACGTAGTACGCGCGTGGCAGTTATAGCTTGTCGGGGGCATGTGCAATTCACATCAGACGCCTGCGCAGTGTCATGAGGGCGGTGCGCTGACGCTGGAGGGCGGATGTCGCCTGTCAGCACCGTAGATGGGACGTCAACCAGGATCAACCCATATTGCGAGAGGGGAATGCGCTCGAAGCTCGGAATCCTAGAGAGACAAGTGCGCAAGTGGAGGCGTTGCGATCTTAAGGCCTTGTCATAGCAACGAGGCGGCCGCGGATGAGCGAGGCCGTACTGTAGTCAAGCCGTGGTAGACCATAATCACACCCGTCAGTCTGCGAAGAGGTGCGTCCGCTCATAAAGAACGATGATGCAGTGGTACTCACCAATTTCTCTGCAAACTTGAACTGCCAGCACGGTCACGAGTGGTAGGAGAGCGGTGGCTGTGGCTTTAAGATGGTGCTGGCGACTTCCTTTGGATTCCAGTTTGGTTCCAGTCTTCAGGCATGCATGCAGAGCAGATGTATCCAGAATCGCATCTTCCAAGGTCATAGGAGTCTTGAGACCTTGAGAGGAAACCTTCCAGCTTGCCTCTGTTCATAAGGAGGGCGTAAGAATGAGCGAGCCCAGTCGCACTGCTAAACGGTAACATGCTATGAAGTCAACAATGAGCCCCATCAGTATGGCGATATGGCCGAGCGGTCTAAGGCGCCAGAATCAGGATGATGTCCTATCTGGTCCTCACGGGCGTGGGTTCGAATCCCACTGTCGTCATTTTGTTTTGTCCTGTCTAACATGCTAAACACGGGGACATGCCGAGAAACACAGAAACAAGATACTGTAATACTCTACGGCAATGTTGTCGACTCCACCGTGCATCCATCGGGGCAGAAGCGTAGGAGAATGATCTCAGAAAAGGAATGCACAGTGGGCTACCCACCTCCCTTTGCCAATCGCAACTGTTGCGATACTTGAGTCGCGCAGAGATGGTGAAACTATCGGGCGTAAAGCACGCAAATGTCCATGGCATACGAAGAGCAATACACCATATTCCTAACTACCAGAAGTCACTGCCTTGTAGACACGGTATCGCCGAAACCTCGATGGGCAGGCTTTAGATCCTGCGCAACGCCAGCCCAGCTCAGTTGACGATGGAGAACTGCGGAGAGGTGTTGCCAGAGTCACCGAAAACTGCAGCGTTTGTATTCGGTTAGAGCTCTGTGACTGCATGGAACGAAGGGACAGTATGTTCACGTACGGACGACGACGTAGTCATCACGGGGAGTGACGTCCGGTACGTTCACGCTGACGCTACCGGCGGTGATCGGGAAGTTCGATGCGAGAGGGTTGGCTACGAGCAAATACTGAATATGTTTGTCCGAGAGAGCGCTGGATAGAAGTCGCTTACTGGTGTTGAGATGCTCGTCAATGCTGCCGTCCTCGATGAAGCCGAGCAGGATGAGCCCGGTCTGGTTCTGGTTGGCGGCGGGGATGTTGGACGTGTCCCACGCAATGGTCTGCACGGTGCCGACCGTCCAGACGTCTCCGGCCTTGGGCGCGGTGATCTGGGGACGGAAGACGTCGTTGGTCGCGCCGGAGGCGACAGCAACGAGCATGGTGAGAAAAGCGACGACCTTGGAAGAGAACATTATAGCTGATGAGGGAGACGGTTAGAGGGTAGAGGACGAGTATGTGAACTGCGCACTGAAGAAACCCGTCGGCGAGGAGGGTATATATACGCTGTCGACCGCAGAGCTCCGGGCTGTTGCCGCCGTTTTCTGACGATATGTGGGGAGGTAAGCCTGATGCGCTCCTCTGTCTCGGCGATTTCGTCAGCTCCCGTGTTCCGCTGAGGTGTCGTGAACTAGCCGATGTATTGCAGAAACCGCTGAGGGAAAGGCAGGATGTGAAGGCATCCTCGGCTCGCCCATGGGCGACGAACGGGTCGATGGGTGCAGACTCAGGTTGATGCACCCGAACTGGCAGAGTCGGAAATATCTGCAGCATTTGTCAGACACAGCGGTCATGTGGGAAAGCAAGGCTCACCAACTTGACAATGTAGCGTTGGACTGGCCAGAGACGCGACTTTGACTGCTCCCCTATTGTTCAGAGTGAGATCCCTACAGATGAGCCTCCGACGAGTCCTACCTCTTTCTTGGTCACGCACATGAAGGTCGGCTACTAAGTCACTGCAGTGATGGTACTCTGAGTCTGACAGATGTTCAGTGCCCTAAACGCCGCGCACAACCCCATACAGTAAGGCGGCAGACACGGTGACCATGGCAAATATTGAGGTCCACCGAGTCTGAGCTGACGCTCGATACCGCGTTCCGACGCGACCCACGTGATCGACGCGTCAACAAAATCGCGTCAATAGTGGCAAACAACTCATTAGGCGCGAGCGCCCGCCGAGTACGTCAAGCCACGGCCGTCGCTCGTCGTCTCACCCACTCTCCATCCTCCCTCGTCATCGTCGTCGACGGCCTGCGACCACCCCCTCGGCAGGCTGCACGTCAGTCCACACACAAAACTTGACGACGCACGACGATGAGCCTTCCTACACCCCCCGGCACGTCACACAGAGACGAGAAGGAGAATCGCGGTCCCCGCTTTTCACGCGTCTCTTGGTGCGAAACCGCCGAGTACCATGCTATCACCTCCAGTCCACCCCGCACACTATCCGCTCAGGCTCGTGCATCCAGAGCTGGCCCCTCCAGGTCCATTCTGAAGAAGGCAGCCCATCCTACCACCCTCTTCCCCGACGAAAAGGTCAAGGAAAGCACGCCAGAGCCATCAGATCCTCTCGCCGACCTACACTATCTTGAGGGCCCCGTGTCGCGTATACTCACTCCAGACGCGTCATTACGCGATCGGATTGAGGCCTACTCCATTCTGACAGCGCGTCTCAGGGCGTGCGTCTCGGACAACACGGACGCGGACGCGTCTTGGCCGCTATTCCAGCCGCTCAGGAAACAGCGCGACATCTTCGTCCAGGCTTTGGTACGCGACATCCAGCAGGTTTTTTTCGATCCTCTCGAGGGGAGCTCGTCGTCCACGGATCTGATGAGCTCGCCACGTTGCGAACCGAGCTCGCTGCCATCTCCCCGAGACAGTCCCAAGAAGAAGCGTGGAATGTCAGAGGAGCAAGTGAAACGCGCTCGCGACCTTTGTGGTGTTTGCCACGCCGTGTTGAGGCTACTCAGCTTACTCTTCACCATCCCAGCTCTATGCCAGCTGTTCACCGGTGAGTGCTGAGCGCCCGTCAACGAACGTCGGCTTACCACCAATTCGCTCTCCGACGCGTCCTTTCCTCGTCCCTTGCAGAGGATGAGCTAGGTTTCGTCTTGACGCAAGTCCTCGCCATCCCACTCGCGAACGAGTTGCCCACGCCGAATGCGCGCAAGACTTGTGCATTGGCCATCTGGCTCATCCAGGCGCAGCGACTTCCTGCGGAGGTTCTCGAGCCAGCGAAAGATCGGATCGCATACGCTTTGCGCCGCGGTATCGAAGGGGAACTCGGAAAGGAAGGGAAGAAGGGCTCCGTGAGTGATGGTCTAAAAGTATGTGATGGTCATATTCCCGCTGCATATATGCGCTAACTTCGTGTCCTTCAGGCCGTCCACGACCTCTCACTGTACCAGCCGTCCATATTTGTGCCTGCATTCGCACCATTGCTTCCGGCGGTCTTGTCGAACCTGCTCGCACCGACGCTCGTCCTGCGTAACCAAGCGTGTCACGCGCTCGGCGGCTTTGCTCTTGCCGTCGCGTCGCTTCCACCAAGCGAGGCGCACACGCGCATCTCGACTGCCGTCGCTGCACGCCTCGTGAAGCGTATCGACGTTACCGGCGCCCTCTCGCCTTCCAAGAAAGCCGTGCTGGCCAGCCCGTCGTCCGATACGCCTCTCGTCCGCACCCTCCGCACGACGCTCCAGACCACAGATCCGAAGCATGCCGCGCAAGGTCCTGTCTGGGCATTCAGCGTCATCGCGCATCTGGTCGTCCTACTCGGCCCAACGGTGTACCTACACAGCGAGGTCACGCGTACCATCATGGCGCTTTTTTCGCTCGGGATGCGCCATCCGAAGAGCTCTGTGCGCGGACTCGGATGTCTCGCCTGGCGAGCTATGACCTGGGCCTACTTCCGCCCTTCGCATGTCAAACTCACCGTCATGACAGAGACTGACGATGAGGACGACGAGTCTGCCACGGAGGACGATCTAGTCGAGGAGCGCAAGAAGCACCAGGAAGCGTTGCGCGCGTGTTTCAGGTACCTCAGCTCTGTTGTGGACATGGGCGCCGGTATTGGGACCGTCGGCGCACTGCTTGGCCAGGACGTCACCGAAGATGCGCACCTGCGCGGCGTCATGCGGGTCCTGCGCGCGATGAGCAAGAAGGGCGGGCAGACGTGCAAGGACGCGATGGACGTCGCGCGACACCTCCTTGGTTGTGCAGTCTCCTCGGACCAACAACCCGCTCCAGAGTGGGAGCACCGCAAGCTCTTGGCACCTGGGCTGTTCTCAGCGAACCCGGGGCTATTAACGGCTGAGTGGAAGACCCTCAGCGCGTGCGTGAAGAGTGTGTTGGAGCAGTGTCCGCATATCGCAGATATTCGTCCGCTCACGCTCGAGGAGATCGCGGCGGATGGGATGTGGGATGAGTTCTTGGCTGTGTGGAAGGATGCAGTGTCCGTGTTGCGGCTGCAGTGGGGCAGCGAGGAGGTGCCGGTGCGTGGAAGCTTGATTGTATGCGCGGAGTCGAGCTCATCTTCTGTGCAGAGTGAGATCCGGGAAATTTGGTTCAACCTGCTCAAGAGCCACGCTGCACCACTTCTCGGTACGTGTGTCCTTTTGGCCTTTTGGGGCTTCGCGACTCATGGATCAACAGATGCTGAGGACCACGACGGCTTGATGGAGCTGGTGAAACGAGCGTGCGAAGTCCTGATTGAGGTTCTTGACGAGGACTCATTCGACTTCACGATGCGCAAAGAGGAGTTGGGTGAGGAGATTCCAACTTCGCCAGTGAAACCCACCAGCTCTCGCAGGAACAAGGCCTCCGAGGAGCCGCTACCGGAATCGCGATGGAACTACGCCGTCAAGCTCTTCCTCGTCCGGGATTTATTCACTATCACCCGTGCGGTGTTCCCCGAGGACGTCTTTGCCCACCTGGCCGAGTCGGTCCTCAAGCACCTGAACAGCAAGGAGGAGCCGCTTGTAGGCGATGTGCAGTGTACCGACGAGGTCCGCGAGCAATGGGCATCTCTTTGCGCTGAAGCTGCTCTCACTTGCGATATCGGTGTCCTACAAGCCTTCTGGTCGAACAAGCTCGGCCAGCCCAGCGACGGACAGCGCGACTCGGACTGGACCGTCGATGTCCGCGTTGCGGTCTGGCAAGCCTTCCTGGACCGGTGGGAAGACAGCAAGCGGAGCTGGGAGGCGGCCATTGTCCTTCTCAGTGTCCCGTTCGTGGAGGCGAGCGGCTGGGAGCTGTTGAGCGAGGACCTCACCATCTGGGACGAGTTCCTCAAGCGCTCGATCGACGCCGCCCTAGACTGCGGCGTCGACGCGCCCGCCCTCATCGACCACATCGCCGGCGCCGTCGCAGCGGGCCAAGCGCCCGGCGCGACGTCGTCCGTGCGTGTGGCGGATCTGCTGCTGTCGAACCTCGAGATCGCCGAGGCGCGCGAGGTTCCGACCGAATTGCTCGACTTTGCGAATGATACGCTCGTGGCGGCGTACCCGCCTGCGCCGCGCCACAAGGTGATGTGCATGTGGCTC